TCCCTCGGCTGCTACCACGCAGCCAGCGCCGTCTTGGGCTCTCTGCTTCCCGGCAGTTACCACCAGGGACTGTGGCTGGGCGGAGACCTCAGACCCGCAGGGCCCTGCCCCCCTGGAGGTAACAGCTCCAACCCTCATCCAAATTTAGGGCATCGAGCACTTTATCTCCCACAACTCAGTGAAGTTTCTCCAGTCCCCCAGCCTCTCCTCCCCTCTGACCTTTCTTCCTCAGTATGTTTTCCCCAGGTCCGGTCCTGGCCCCAGAGATCTCTAGACAGGCAGCCTCCTCTACTGTGGAGTCCAGAAATGACACTCTGTGTTTTCCCCCAACCCCCTAAGTTATTGCTGTTCCCCTGCTGTGTGTGCTCATCCTCACCCTCATCGGCTCAGGCCTGGGGCCAGGGGTGGTAGGGAGGGAAGTCATTGGGTTTTTTCCCTCTTTGATTTTGTTTTTCTGTCTCCCTTCCAACCTGTCCCTTCCCCCTCCACCAAAAAGAAAAAAAGAAAAACACAAATAAAATATCTGAGCGGAACTATACCTTTGGCCCAGGCTGCCTCTGTCTGCTTTGTCCTGCCGCCTAGCCTCCCTGGTTTGCCCTGAATCTGGACCCTTGGCCCTCAGTTCCATGACCTCTTCACCCCATCTCCGTTGTCTTCACTCCCGTCACTCCTCAGCCTCATCTTCTTTGCCTTCATAGCTTCATTGCACCATGACCACAACCAGCTCTGGGCTGTGAGCCCCTGTGGAGCTTCCACAGAACTTCCTGATCTCACAGTTCCCCATTTGGGTCCCTTTCAGAGAGTACTTAGGGTTAAAGTCTTTTGGTCTCTTTGTCCCTTCCTTTACTGCGAACCCAATGCCTACATGATTTGGAGCTGCGTCTATCACCTGGGTCAGGCATTAGTCTACAGAGTTGGGGGCTGGGACGGCAGACCACCTGCAGCCAAGGGTGGTGAGTTGGGATCAGACAGAATGTGCAAACTAGAGGCCTGGGATTGCTGTGGGCTTGGAGTGAGGGCTGAGTGTGTTGGGCTGGGCTTCTGTATGGATCTGGTCAGGGTGGCAGCTGTTCCCAGTGAACTTCTCAGACCTTTTCTGGCCACCCCCTGCTGCCCTTCCCCTTCTGTGCCCTGATATGGGGTGACCTGTTACCCATCCGTCAGCACAGTGCTTCCTTCTTCCCTGCCTTCCCTGAGGTGCTGGACCTGGGCCTTCCTCTGCCTGTCCTTAGTTGTATTGCCCTTTCGTGGATGTTGCGTGTGCCTTGGTGTCTCACTCAGTCTTTACACTCCTAAACATTGATCACATGCTTCTATCCCAGGGCGATATTATCTCCTCCCTCTTCGCATGATCAGAGCGTCTTTTGTGTACTCAGCCCTCTAAAGATTCTCAGTTCCCTGTCTGTAAGATCTTACACCCTTCTTGTGACGTCCCATGCAACTCTGATGTACTCTGAGAACCTCTCTTGTTTCTCCACCTCTCTTGCCCATGGAGACTTTCTTGATCTCTCAACAGTTCCATCTCTCCATGTCTGTCTGTGTACAGCTCCCCCCGCCCCCTCTGTCTAACATGTTTTCTGTTTCTCTCCCTCTCCCTGTCTCTGCTTCTGTCTCCTTCCTCCTTTTCTTCCTTTCCCCTCGTTGTTCCTCTTCCTCCTCCTTCTCCCTGCCCCATTTCCCCTTGATCCGTTCACTGCAGTCGAAGGAGCTGCAGATCAAGAAGCAGTTCCAGGAAACGTGTAAGATCCAGACACGGCAATACAAGGCTCTTCGGGCACACTTGCTGGAGACCACACCCAAAGCGCAGCACAAGAGCCTCCTTAAGCGGCTCAAGGAGGAACAGACCCGCAAGCTGGCGATCCTGGCTGAGCAGTATGACCAGTCCATTTCAGAGATGCTCAGCTCACAGGCGGTGAGGCCTGGGGTCTGGGAGGGGGACTATGGAGGTTGGCCTTTGCTTTAAAATTTCCTGTGGCAAAGGAAGGAGGGAGGTGTGAACAGAACTTTTGGACTTAGGAAACTTGAGTACTCTTTTACTACTGACATTCTTCATAGTAGTTCTATTTCATATTCTTCTCAGTGGTCTTCTTTTTTCTCTTACTATTTTCCTACTGTCTTAACAAAGTCATCCTGCCTGCTCTGCCAAGAAACACCAAGGAAAATAATGACTATTAATACTTTTTTCTGGACCTGAGTTTACTTTGTGTGAACAGGGAGCAGGGGAGCAGATTACAATGAGTGTGGTTCTCAGGCCTTTTACTCAGAGTTCAGGAATCCGGAAGGCTGCTCTTAGGAAAACTGTACACAGCACTGGAGTCAAATGCACATTGAGTCCAAAGAGCTATAGGACCCCATTCTCATGCAGTCCCACCCCTTGGAGATAATTTTGTAGTGGTTAACTTGTGTAGTTTCCAGTACATAGCTGGAAAATTAAATAGGAATTTTTAACACAATAGAGTCAGATTTCACATAAGTTTTCTGACTTCCCTTTTCCACCCAGTATTTCTTGGTCATCATTCCATGTCAGTATACATAGCACATGTATCATTTTTATACAGTATAGAGTTTTCCATGGAATGGCTGTACCACAATTTATTTAACCCATCCCTTATTGGTGGACATTTAGGTTGTTTCCAGCATTTTGCTATCACAACGCTTCCGTGAACACTCCGAGCACATGTGCAAGTATACCTGGGGGATAGATTCCTGCAAGTGTAATTGCTGTACCACAGGGTATGACCATCTTCCATTCTGATAGAGGTTGAGACTGCCGCTCCTTGCCACCTTAGGGTCCAGGCCTACTGGGGCAGGGGAGGATGGTGGGGACAGTGGAGGAGGTCCCCAAACCTTGTCCTCCCTGTCCTCCAGCTCCGGCTTGATGAGACCCAAGAGGCAGAGTTTCAGGCCCTGCGGCAGCAGCTCCAACAGGAGCTGGAGCTCCTCAATGCTTACCAGAGCAAGATCAAGATCCGCACAGAGAGTCAGCACGAGCGGGAGCTGAGGGAGCTGGAGCAGAGAGTAGCGCTGAGGCGGGCGCTGCTGGAACAACGGGTAAGGGGCTTGGCCCCCCGATGGGGAAGGGAGAGCGGGTTCTCCATTCCAGTACTCACACCCCTGTTTTGGGTGTCCCAGGTGGAAGAAGAGCTGCTGGCCCTGCAAACAGGGCGTTCTGAGCGAATCCGGAGTTTGCTTGAACGGCAGGCCCGTGAGATCGAGGCTTTTGATGCTGAGAGCATGAGGCTGGGTTTCTCCAGCATGGCTCTGGGGGGCATTCCAGCTGAAGCTGCTGCCCAGGGCTATCCTGCTCCACCCCCAGCCCCTGCCTGGCCCTCCCGTCCAGTTCCCCGTTCAGGTGCCCATTGGAGCCACGGCCCTCCTCCGCCAGGCATGCCTCCACCTGCTTGGCGTCAGCCAGCTCTGCTGGCTCCCCCAGGGCCTCCAAACTGGCTAGGGCCCCCAGCACAGAGTGGAACACCCCGTGGAGGGGCTCTGCTGCTGCTAAGAAACAGCCCTCAACCCTTGAGGCGGGCGGCATCAGGGGGCAGCAGCAGTGAGAACGTGGGCCCACCTGCTGCGGTGCCCGGGCCACTGAGCCGAAGCACCAGTGTTGCTTCCCACATCCTCAATGGCTCCTCCCACTTCTATTCCTGAAGTGCAGGGTGGAGAACAGAGGAATAGGGCAAGGTGGGAGTGGGTGGTGCCTGATCCTACAGGCAGTGCGCTTGAAGCCTACCCAGTGGTGGTGGGGACAGTACGTTGGCTCCAGCTCCCCCCTCAGACCTCCACATCTCATGAGCTTCTTGGGGCTGGCCAGTGACCCTAGGCCAGCTTGGGCATTGGTGCCCCAAGGCTGACCAGGAGCCCTGCCTCCCCACCATGGTGCCAGGGCCAGGGTCTCCCTCCATCACCACCTACCAGAGGTGGGAACTGTGAGTGTCAAATATTCATCTGGTCCCCTGGGGGAGGGGAAGGGTGGGTCTAGATATATTATATTCAGAGAACTATACAACCCTTGTGATGGGGCCATGAACTGGGGACAACGGGGTCCCCAGACCTGGATATGACAGAGCAGGTCTGGTGCCCAAGGCAAGGAGAATGGGAGGAGGCGTTCCTCCAGAAGGATTGGGGGTCTTAAAGTCAGGATGCCTGGGTCTCACCATCCTCCTGTTGCTGTTTGATGTCCTGTGCCGTCTTGTCTTTTTTTTTTTTTTTTTTTTAATTTGGGGTCAGGGCTGGGGCGGGGGACAAGGGAAGGACCTTGGAAAGGGCTGCTGTCAAGCCTGGGAGCAGTCATGGGAGCCCCTCTCAGCTATGGGGCTGGCACAGAGCCCTAGGGCAAGCTTTTAATAAACTGTTGGTTATTCTAACAGTCGCCAGGAGTTCTCCCTTTCTGTCTAAGATGTGTGTGAAGGATTGATGAGCACTAGTGATAGTGTTGCTTGCACGCAATTGGGTCATGTGACTAAAAACTCCAGTGATGCTGCACATTTGATTGGGAGGTCACCACCTTGTTGATTCCTCAAATTCTGCTTTGCTTTGGGTTCAGAGCTTCTCAGAAAGCCTTGGTGCAACAAGCTCCCCAGCAGCCCCGTGTCTGTATTTTACTAGATGCCTGCCTGGACTGAAGTCTGCAGAGGTTTGTCATGCTCTGATTGGTCAGTCAGGTCTACTATACCTACCTTAGCCTACTCTTGGAGGCTGAGTCCCTGGCAGTGTGGGGAAAGAAGATGAACTAAGCCTGGGGGGGAGGGGGTCTGAGATTGAGACCAGGCCCTTGTTTGTGCTAGGCTTGTTCAGGTCACTTTAACTACAGAAACCACCTGGTCACCCTGGAAGAACAGCCATGTCCTCCTCTGATACAACCTGATGGGGACTGGATGACAGGCCTGAGGCTGGGGCAGCTGGGAATCTCTAAGAGTTAGGCTACTAGCTGGTAACAAGGGCTGCTTCCCAGTTTCTTGGCCCCAAGGTTTCAGCATTAGGGACCTGTTCAGATGAAGTAATTACAAACATTACTTTATTGACTCTAAAACCAAAACAAATGAAGAACCACAAAACAACATAGTCTTTTTTGAAAACAGCTTCAGTGCCACAAGGTCCATCCTGGGGCATGGAGTTTAGCTACTCTCACCATCACTGCTGATGATGCCCCGCATATGGGACCAGTCTGGAGGTGCTTGGCGTGGCCTCTCTTCTTCCGAGTCCAGGGTTCTTCGATAAAGCTCCCCTGGGGGCATTCCTTCCCCCGAAGGGTTCCAGGCATTCCGTCTTCGTGGTCGACCTGGGAGGTGGGAAGAGAAAATTAGTTATCTGACCCCAGTCTCTTCCTTTCTTGAAGAGGAAATCCCTTACCTGAACTGGTGATGATATTGGCAACATCCAAGGAAGCCACCTCAGCTGCCTCTTCCCGCTGCTCCTTCAGGGCCCGGCACTTCTCCAAGGAAGGGTTGCCTGGAGCAGAAGTAGTTTGTGAGCCTCTCTTGCCCAGTGCCCAGGCCACCCTGCTGCTCTTGGCTCACCCAGGCTCACCCGTCATGCCCAGCGCTTCCAGCTCAGCCCTGAGGACACTCAGGCACTCCTTGTGGGAGCGACAGGAGCCCAGCAGCTTCTTGTAGTTTCGATGGGCACCACAAGCCCGAATATAACGCTTTAGTCTCACCACGGCTGGGTGATCCTCTCCGTGGCGACGACGAGCGCCAACCTAACAAGGAATTTGCAGCTGAAGGCCCAGCCTTTTCCCTGGTGGAGGCCAACACCTAGCATGCCCTCTCACCTTCTGGCTTGTGGGTTCTGGACTTGAATCCGATGAGGAACTTCGTGCCTTGCCATTCTTGGAGCTCTTCTTGGAAGCGCGGGTCTTCCTTTCCCCTTTGGAGCTCTGTCCTGCCCGGGAGCCCCTCCCGTCACTCTCACTGCTGCCTGGTGTGCCCATCTTGGTAGTGCCTTGACCGGCTGCTAGCTCCTGTGTGCTGCTGTCACTGTCCTCACTGCTTGGACTCTGCCTTCTCCCATTCTCCGCCTGGGTCTTGTCCTTGCTCTCCTCAGATGAATTCTCTTCATCCGTCCCGCTGCTATCCCCACTACTTACTGCCCCCCTTTCCTTCTCTTCGCTGTCTCCCAAGCCTCCCGTTCGCCCCCCAACCTTGGTTTTCTGCTTGTAGTTCATTCTCTCCCCTCTGTTGCTCCTGGGTCTGGGTTCCTTGTGCTCCTTCTTCTGGGCTAGGGTCTCCTCCTCACTGTGGCATCCCCGGCCCTCTGCTCTGCCCTGCCGGGCTTCCTCACTGTCACTTCCCTCCCTCACCTGCTTCCTATTGGCTGAAGCCTTGCTTGGTGTTTGCCTGTTCTTGGCCCCAGCTTTCCTTTCAGACCTGCCCTCCTGTTCTTTCTTGACATCATCGTCTTCCTCAGCGTCCTCCTTCCAGACCCTACTTGATCTGTCAGAGCCCTCCCCTTCCTCCCCGCTGCTCTCCTCTGACCGCATCTTGGCCACCAGGTCTGTCTGCTGTTCGTCATCTGTGCTCTCAACCGCTTTCTTTGAGGCTCTCCTCCAACACGACTTCTCCTTGGTTGTGCTCTTCTTCTGGGGGGGTCCTGAGCAGTCTGGACTGGATGGTGCAGAGCTGGAATCTGGAACATGGGCACAGGGCTGGGATGGTCCCTCCTGTTCCTTACGTTTAGGACAGAGGCACTTCTAGCTCTACTCTGGTTAAGAATGAAGGACAGCAGGAAGCACCACGGCTGTGATTCCACCTGGTTCCCGACTCGCTGTCTGCCCATTCATTTACTGCCTTGCAATGGAATACATGCACATTGCCTTTTGAATAAACCAATGATGCTGTAGTCACAGATAAGCAGGGAGAAGGCACTAACCTGACTCTGAATTGAAGCGAGACCTTTTTCTCTCTGGGTCACTGCAGGGAGCACGAGGCCTCTTCACTTTGGTAAGGTCTAGCTTTCCTTCTCTGGTATCAGCATCCGCCTGTGGGTGCAACATGAGGGCAAGTGGAACCCAGGTTGTGTCCTGTTCCGACCCCTCAGCAACAAACCCTGTGTCTCCTGGGCCAACTGCACGCCCAAACCTGCATCTTGAGCAGCTCTTCCTCCACCAGCCGCTTCAACGCCTGCTTCTCCTCTGGTTCAAGGTGATCCCGGCACACGTGGGTCAAAAATTTCTGTCGCACGATGGAGTGCGTAACCGTGCTACAAAGACACGTGTCAAGACGGGTCCCAGTCCAACCCTGCCCTCTTCAACCCAGACTTTAATACCCTATACACCTGAGGTCAGGGCAACCTCAAAAGAAGCTGCGCATGAATTCCAGCATCTCATCTCCCGGCGCCATTTTACGCCACCGGGGATTGGTGACTCCCGCCTTTTTTCTTCCGGGCTGCCTTCAGTGCGATTGACAGCAGTTTGCGCACGCGCGGTGACGCGCCTTCGTGAGGGGCGGGACCGTTGGGCTTCCCACGCGGAGCACTGGGACGGAGAACTTGGCCAGGTTTTGCTCTCCTTACTAAGCAGCGGGTGGGTCTCGAGGTTTCTGCTCTTTGTCAAAACTACTTATTGAAACTATCATTAGAAGCCGATCCGCCGCCGGAAATCTCTGGATGTAACGTAATTAACTTTACGCTGCTCTGTTGTTTCGAAAGGCAGAAAGGAAAGGGTATCCTCGCTAACACCCTGAATTTCTGGTTACCTTTTATGACTCCAAATCTCTAAATCAGCTTAGAATACTGCGCCCTTCAGTGTCCGGCTCCTCTGTGACCTCAGCGCACCGCGAAGCCACTGGAAACTGCGTTCCTTTCAGGTCTTCCCCTGGAGGGCGGGCGGTGTCACTACGCGCCCTGTTCGCGGAGCACGCCGGGAGTTGTAGTCCACTTCGTACGGCGTTGCCAAGTCTCCGGAAGTGGAAGTGTGAGAGGCTGGACCGACTTGGCTCTGGGTAGCGGTACTCTGTTCTGGGGCGATACGCCCAGGCGGGTCATGAACGGACCAGCGGACGGCGAAGTGGACTACAAAAAGAAATACAGGAATCTGAAGCGGAAGCTCAAGTTCCTCATTTATGTGAGTGCTGGCGTGGGGAGGTTGTGGGTGAGGCCTAGCGCTGAGAGGACCTCAGTTTACCCATGTGGTAAAGGGGATATAGAGGGGGAGATGTCTCCGGGTTCTGGGGCTTTTATGGATTGCTCTTGGCTCAGCACCCACCCTGTCCGATACAGGAACATGAGTGTTTCCAGGAGGAGCTCAGGAAGGCACAGAGGAAATTGCTGAAGGTTTCCCGGGACAAGAGGTAAGGCTTCTTGAGGGACAAGGGCGATGGTACACCTAGGGAATCCTCGTTCTCACTCCGTCCTGGAATAGGACCACAAATGCATGCACTCCTAGGAGGATCCAGTGGGCCTTCTAGAAGGAACTAGATAGATGTCTAACCGAAGAACGTTGCTAAAATGAGAATAATCATTCTCTTTCCCACTTCTCCCAGTTTCCTTCTAGATCGACTTCTGCAGTATGAAAACGTGGATGAAGATTCTTCCGGTGAGCAAAGTCATGAACGTTTGCGGGAAGACATGAGATACTGGCGCTTTAAACACTTGTTCCTGGGACATTCTCTTAGGATGTGGGAGCTGGTGCAACCCTTTTAGCCTTGTTTAAGTCTTCTGCTTCCTTCCCTCCTTCTCCCATTCCCTTCCTTCCTTCCCTCCTTCTCCCCTTCCCTTCCTTCCTTCCCTCCTTCCTCCCACCTTTTTCCTTTCCATTCTCTGTGTGGCCCTGTAGACCAGGCTGGCCTCCCAACTCAGAAATCCACCTGCCTCTGCCTCCCAAGTCCTTGGATCAAAGGTGTGCACTACCATGCCTGGAGAGTCTTTAGGGATTTACTTATCCACTGTGTTCCAGGCACTGTGCTTGGCAGAGGCTGTCAAAATGAGCAAAGCCCCTGGCCTCTTGTCATTTATATCCCTGTTATATGAAAAAGTAAACTAGAAAAGTGTGCTACCCCATGCCTGTAATCCCATCACTCAAGAGGCCAAAGCATAAGGTTCATGAGCAAGACCCAGTCTTTAAAAACAAAGGGGCCTGATCTCTAGAACCTGCAAAGGAGGAGAAAAACTTGTGAAAGTGTCCTCTAACCTCAGAGCATTTGCCACAGTATGTGGGTGTCTGCACAAACACACTGACAGTAATGATAATAAAGTCACTTGAAATTTTTTTAAAGAAACAAACTAGAATTTTAAGTGATAACGGGAATTTGATGAAAATTAAAACAGGCCGGGCAGTGGTGGCACACGCCTTTAATCCCAGCACTCGGGAGGCAGAGGCAGGCGGATCTCTGTGAGTTCAAGGCTGGGCTAGACCGACAGCCTCCAAAACAAAACAGAGAAACCCTGTCTCGTAAAACCAAAAAAAAAAAAAAAAAGAAAATTAAAACAGTTAAATGGTAGTAACTGTAGTATAACAGGAGTTGATAAATTTCCTTTGCAAAAGGTCAAGAAAATATTGTTGACTTTGTAAAATACTGTCCTTGAAGCAAATTGCATGCATAAGAGCAGCTGTAGCCAGCATATTAATAAACAAAAGTGGCTGTGTTTTATTAGAATTTTATTTATGAGCATTACATTGTGAATTTATAGTTTTATAACCATTATTATTTTTGAAATATGTTCTTCATTTTTGCTTTATTTGATCCCAAACCCACAGTCCTACCACCTCAGTCTCCCCAGTGCTGGGATTTCATGCTTGTGCCACCACACACACACACACACACCACACACACACACACACACACACACACACACACACACACACACACACACACACACACACACACACCCCACCAGCAGCCCCACAGCTTTGTTTTAAGATATTTATTTTATGTGCATGGATGTTTTGCCTGCTTGTATGTCTGTGTGCCATGTACATGCAGTCCCTGTGGAGGCCAAAAGAGGGCATTGGATCTTGTCAAATGAGTTGTAGATGGTTGTGTTCAGTGAGGGGAGTACTCGGAATCGGTCCCAGGTCCTCTTAACTCCTGGGCCTTTTCTCCAGTCCTTCCCCCAGCTTCTTTTAAGATGATTTATTGAGCAAAGGCACTTGCTACTGAACCTGACTACTTGAATTCAGTACCCAGGGCCCACATTGTAGGAGAGACTGGTTCCCTTAGGTTGTATCTCTGACCTCTACATGCACACACCCATAGACACACAAATAAGTAAATGTAATTAAAAAAAAACTATGAGTTCCAACATAATGAGACCATGTTTCAAACATGGGATGAGAGCGGGTGGAAAGCAAGGCATGCTAGCATAGGCCTTTATTTAATTCCAGTCCCCCTTAAGAGGTAGAGGCAGGAGGGCCAGAAATCCAAGGCCAACCTCAGCTACATGACACCCATCTCTAAATAAGTAAAAGTAAAAAGCTACAAATGCAAAAGCCACTTGGTCATGGTGCCTTATACCTATATACCTGTGAGTTCAAGGCCAACCTGATCAACAGAATGAGTTCAGGACAGGCTCCAAAGTTACACAGAGAAACCCTGTATCTAAAAGAAAAAAGGTGTTTAACAATTGGAGCAGCAGTTTACCTGTGAAGACAGGGCTAGAGCCTTCTAGGTGAAAAATGTGGTGTGTGCCAGGCTAGTGTGCACAAAGGCTATTTTTTCCAACTTAAGAAAAGTCGTTTTCTAAGACAAGGTTTCTCTGTGTAACAGCTAAAAAGATGGCCCTGTAGTTTAGAGCACCTGCTGCTCTTGGAAAGGACCTGGGTTCAATTCCAGTACTTGCATGGTAGCTCCCAGCCAACTTACTCTATCCTAGGGGGTTGAATGCCTTCTTCTGACTCCCTCAGACTTGGGCATGATCATGATACACATACTCACACGTAAACAACCTAAACATAAAAATATTATATTAGGGAGACAATATCAGGAGAGTCTCTCATGTTCCAGGCCAGCCAGAGATACATATATATTGAGACTGTCTCAAATACAAATCAGGGATCTGAGTAGAAGAAAACATATCGTACAGTGATTACTAAGTGAAAGGCAAGCCTTCTAGGAAGAGCACAGAGCTAGGAAGTAGATCTCCTTTCGGAAGAATGGGGGCCCGCTACTGTGCAGAGCTCTTGGAGGCCAGGATTGCAGTTGTGAAATAAAGGTTAGCCAGGTGCCCTGGGGCAGGCCCTCACTTAGTCTTCCTTAAGGCAGGCTGAAGACAGGTAATGCGGCTGAAACACTGCTTGTGGACAGAGTTACTAATTGGGTGGAACAGTAGGTGGCAGAGTGGTAGGATGACTGAGCCCATGATTTTGACGTGGAGGTGGCAGTGGCCTGAACTTGCAGCAGTTGGGATGTGAAGCAGAGGAAGAGCATAGTTCTGAGGGGTGCTTTAATGGGTCCCCAAATAAGGGAAATGGAGCAGAAGCTGAAAGTTACTCAGAGGCGTGTGAAAGAGTGGTCTAAGATGGTTGAACAATCACAGACCTGAGTTCAGGTTCGGTACTTACTTTCTGAGCTCAGTGAGACCATCTGGAATGCGGAGGTTATGTGCTTGTCTCTCCCCGTTCCGAGCTTTAAAAGACCAGGGGCTTGGCACATAGTATGTGCTGGCAAGTGTGCCATGGATGTACCTAAGTAGGAAATAGGTGTGAGAGCCCAGGGACTCTCCAGAGTCCTGTGCTTGCATGTGTGTTGAATGGGAAGTCTTCCCTGGCTCCCTGCTATAGTGCTGAGGTACAGTCCTCTGAGGTGGATGGGAAGCTCCAACCTCACTGACCAGCCCTCCCCACAGATTCAGATGCCACTGCATCTTCAGATAACAGTGAGACAGAAGGGACACCCAAGTTGTCTGACACACCAGCCCCCAAGAGGTAAGGAGGAGCTGTCATTTTCCAGGGCAGGGGAGGGGGAATCTGAGCTTTGCAGCTGTCTCTGACCCTTCTCCCTATCCCTTATTCAGGAAGAGAAGCCCTCCGATGGGGGGCGCCCCATCCCCTTCCAGCCTCTCCTTGCCTCCTTCAACAGGATTTCCCCTGCAGACCTCTGGGGCCCCCTCCCCATACCTGAGCTCGGTGAGTTGGGATGAAGACCAGGAGAAAGTAGCACACTGCCATGCCTGGGAATACAGTGGGCATCATGTGGGCAAGGGGCTAGGTCTCAGGGCTACATTTCCCAATGCAGAATGTGTCCACATGTGGCCAGCAAGTAACCTTTGGAGGGTGTGAGCCAGGTTGCCTACTTCTCTCCTGTGTAGGACTGGGGGGCAGACCCAGGACATGGTCCTGCTGCTGTCCCTTCCCCTCTTCCCAGGAGCGCTGGGAGCCACACTCATCAGCATCTCTTTTGTTTTCCATTCTCCTGTGTACATTTCTTCCCTTCACCCCTCACCTTTACCTGCTCCATTCCCATCTCCATCTTCCTATCCCACCTCAGCTGGCTTCCCCTCCTTACCCCCCATTCCCTTCCGACTACCTGGCCCTGCAGCTGCCTGAGCCCAGCCCCCTGAGGCCCAAGCTGGAGAAACGGCCCCGCCTACCCCGGAAACTCAAGGTACCCTGATGTGGGGACTATAGGGAGGGGCCACAAAGGCAGGAGTCGTCTGAAGGAAGCTGCAGACAGGGGCGTGCACAGGGCTTTGGGGGCTTCACTGTCTGAGGAAGGGCCTCTTGTAGCAGGGGCTAGTAGGATGATGTTGAACCCTTGGTCCTCCTGCCTCCACTTTCCAGTGCTAGGATTACAGGCATGTGCCACCACATCTAGTTTACACCATGCTGAGGTCTGAGCCAAGTGCCTTATGCATGTTAGGCAAGCACCCTGCCAGCTGGGCTACATCCCCAGCCTGATTCCAAATTTTGAAAGATGGGTTTGAAATGCTAAGACTCGGCCCAAGGCTCAGCACCGAAGGGCAGAGTAGAGGAGTCCTGGTTCACTGGCTGTGGCTGAATCAATTTTGGAAGACTCCCAAGTTAGGCTGCTGGAGGTCTCACCACCTGGCTCTACGACCACGCCCTGTACCATGGCTGTCCGGGTCATGGGTGCTGTTGGAGCTGGGACAGGGTAGTGGATGGTGTGTAGAGTCAAGGCTTCCCCAGTTCAGAACAGTGTGACTTCGAGCAAGAATCCTAGATTCAAACTCTAGGTTTCAAACTGGGGTAACATCAACAAGTGTTGGTGGAACACCACCTGTGCTGAGAACCTATCTGGCAGATCAATAAGATGGATTGGCCCTAGTAGAGAAAATGAAAGAGAGTTATGCAGGAAGCAAGCCATGAGGTGTCTGGGAAAGGGTTTCAGTCTGGTGAGCATGCTTGCTGAAAGAGAAGGAGGGACAGAGCATGCTGGCACATGCCCTTAATCCCATCCCCCCAGGAGGCAGAGGCAGGTGGATTCCTAAGTGTTCAAGTCTAGCCTGGTCTGCAGAGTGAGTTCCAGGCCAGCCACGGCTGCATAGTAAGGTTGTGTCTCAAACAAGCAAAATAGAAAAGTGTGTGTGTGTGTGTGTGTGTGTGTGTGTGTAGGGCGTACAGGGCAGGTGGTCAGAGACTAGGTGCCTGAGGGAAGCACGTAGGGCCTTTGAGGTGTTAGAGAAACTGGGGCTTATACGGGAATGGAGTGAGAGCCACTTGGGCAGGGTGAGCAGGGCAGGGTCTAGTTGAACTTGCATTTTAGACACATGGACAACGTGGCTGGGTAGGTTGAGGCCTGGATTCAGGTCTGGAGTAATCAGGATGATGGGAAGGAAGTGACTCAAGAAACCCAGCAGAGTGTTCCATGAATCCATGTCAAAGATGGCTGCAGGGTTTCCTCAGAGACCCAGTTTGTCTGTGAGGAGGAGTAGGGAGCCCAGAAGGATTCCAGGGCTCTTCTGAGCAGTGAAGTATAGTGGCAGCTTTTCTGAGATGGCGATGATGGAAGAAGCTGGTTTTAGCAGAGAGATGAAAAACCGGCCTCGGGCCTGTTAAGAGGGCCTCTGGAAGTGCCGGGATAGTGGGTGTGTGAGCTGAGGCTTCGGAGGACTGCATGGCTGGAGAAGGGAAGAAGGCCAAGCACGAAGCCCCAGTAGTGATGAGAAGTGAGCCAAAGACAAAGGAAGGTGGGATTGCCTGTCACCTGGGAAGCACAGTTGAGTAGGGAGCAGGCTAAACAGCTCTCTGCTCGGACACCATCAGCAGATCACAGACTTTATAGTGGCTAAGAGTGTGAATTCTGCCTGGCAACTCCCAACTCCTGGGAGGCTGAGGCAGATGACTCTGTGAGTCTGAGGCTATCCTGGTCTACCTAGTGAATTCTAGGCCAGACAGGGCTATATCCTCAGAGAAAGAAGGGATGAGGAGAAGAGAAAAAGAATAAAAGGATGAATGAACAAATTCTAGGGATCAGAGAAATGACTCATGGGTTAAAGACACTTGCTGCCCTTCCAGGGGACCCGGTTCAGTCCTCGCATCAAGCAGCTCACAGCTGCCTGTACCTCCAGTTCCTGAGGATTGAGAGTGAGTTCTGGGGATGAGGCGTTTGGCTCAGCACTAGTTCTTGGCTGGCATTTTCAAGGCCAAAGTCTGTTCCCTAGCACTGGGGGAGCAGCGGTAAGGTAGTGCACACTGGCCTTCCGTAAGGGGTTTTGCTTCTCACATTCAGGACAGGCGGAAGACAACAGCAACCTAGGGCAGGTGAGGCGTTTGGCGTGTTGAGACATGGTGACTGGATTGGTGGGGAAAGGCTAGAGCCAACTTCTTTAGGTGGGGACACGGGAGGATCAGGGAAGGGCTAATGTTGGAGCACAGGGTCACTAAGATCAGGGTTGTCCCAGCTGTGGTGGCAGTGGGGGAAGAGGACCAGAGCAAAAGGCTGGCGCTCTGGCCTTAGCTGGGTTGAGTCCTAGCGTTCCCACATACTCACCGTGTGACCTTGGGCATGTCACTGAACTCCGTTCCAGTGATGGAGCATGTAGGAGGTTTAATGCGTGAGGGATGCAGAGCATCGCCTCGCCAGTGCCTGGGCCCTGGCAGCACATAGAGCCACATTGTCTCTCTTAGTCGTGCTGGCGGAGGAAATCCTGGCTAGGGTAGTTCTTGGGGATCAGGCCGCTGATGCAGAGGGGAGCAGCAGAGGCCTGGTGCTCATGGAGCTGCCCTCCTTAGTCATGTGTGAGCATCTACTGCTCCGTGCATACGGCGACTGCCTTGGTTACTTTTCTATTGCTGTGACACCAGGACCAAGGCAACCTGTAGTGTTTATTTGGAATTTATGATTTCAGATTGGAGTCCATGAGACAGAGGTGGACGGCAGAGGAAGGGAGAGATGGAAAGTGAACGAATCTGAGCTGAGAATAGTGAGAGCTTTTGAAAAGTCAAAGCTCACGTCCAGTGAGACACCTCCTCCAACAAGGCCAACTTCTTTATTTATATATATATATTTTAAATACTTTATTTATTCATTGTGTATACAGTCTTCTGCCTACATGCCAGCAGAGGGCACCAAATCTTATTCAAGGTGGTTGTGAGCCACCATGTGGTTGCTGGGAATTGAACTCAGGACCGCTGGAAGAACAGTCAGTGCTCTTAACCACTGAGCCATCTTTCCAGCCCCAAGGCCAACTTCTTAATTCTATAGAGTTTTGCCATCTGTGGACCAGTAGTAAACATGAGAGCCTGTGGATGGCATTCTCATTCAGACCAGCACGGGTCCTGGTTCTTCCCAGAGCTGCCCGCCTGTCTGGCACCTGTCCCTGAGGCCTTGCCCCTCTAGCACCTTCCCATCACCCACAAGCAGAGGTGAGGGTGGGGCTCCTTGAGAGGTCGAGAGCAGGCCACAGGGCCCGGTGTGGCAGCAATCAGGGCCATGGTGGAGCCGCACACAGGTGCTGCTCCCCAGTCCAGGCACACCTTGGGTGCCGGCCCGTGAGGACTCGCATCCTCTCCCTTTAACTTCCGTTTCCACACCTCAGTGCCACCTCTTTTCCAGGACGGTCCTATAAAGTAGAGATTGTTGATGGAAGTTACCTGGGTCATAGTAGGTGTTCAGTTTGCCCATGGCACATGCGATGTCTCAGCACCCAGAGAGCTCTCTTGAGGGAGGGTGTGTGAGGACCTGGCAGGGTGGGGAGAGCAGAGGCCACGTCTCAGCTCACAGGACAAAGTGTGACTTTGACAAATGCAGCAGGACCAGCCTGTTAGGCATACTGCACTGACCATCCTGAGGGCAGCCAGGGCCAAGGCCCCTGGCAGAGGAGTGACATGCTCAGGTTTGTGTTCTAGAGTGATCACTCTGGCCGAAGTGTGGAGGAGGAGCTGGATCTGGGAGAGGCTGAAGGCAGGGAGTCCAGTTAGGAGGCTGGTACCTAGACCAGGTGAGCTGAGAGGAGGTCCTGGCCCAAGCTGGTGGCTGCTGGGGTCCCAAGGAGGGGCTCATCCACAAATGCCATAGAAGCTGGGGAACAAAGCTCCTGCTTAGGCTTCTGGCCCAGGTAACCTGTGATGCCCACCATGAACCAGTGAGTCCACAGGAGGAGGAGGGAGAGCCAACCAGTGGTGGCAGGTGATACCTGAGGTGCCCAGAGGCAGGAGGAAGGCACTCTGAGCGAGTCCTAAATCTGGCTTTAACTGCTGGCACAGAGCAACCGGGCCTACCTTGCTATCGAGGGACGAGCCCAACTTTTCTGTCAGGCTCCCTGTCAGACCCCTTCACCCCATCCCCATCATGCCTCCATCACTGTCCCTCACCCCAGGCTCTTCATGGCTTGAGACTGAGGGGCTGCCCCCACCCCTTGAACTGCCTTTCAGTGGGTGTTGTGCAGCTGCATACTAACAGTGTGTCTGACAAGCCCTCCTTGTGTTTCTCCCCCTGCTGCAGATGGCTGTAGGACCCCCTGACTGCCCTGTGGGTGGGCCACTGGCCTTCCCTGCCAGGGGTTCTGGGGCCAGTGTTGGGGCAGCCCTGACCCCCCTGCCTCCTCCCAAGATGCCCCCCCACACGATCCTGAGCACCGTCCCTCAGCAGATGTTCAGTGATGCAGGCAGCGGAGATGATGCCCTGGATGGAGACGACGACCTGGTAATCGACATCCCAGAGTAGCCGCCCTGTGCTACTCCCATGCCAGCACACTTGAGCCCACTTCTCGAGATGTTTATTGATGCCCAGTTGCCATGCTTCGGCCACTGACACAATCAGAAAAGGCGTAAACATGCACAAATGTCCCCGAGGACGGTGGCAGGGGTCCTGCCCTCACGTCCCAGCCCCATCCAAGGGACAGTTATTTAAATGAGTGGCCAAGAGGATCTGTCCCATCTTAGGGAGGCAGAGATTCTGTGGAGGCCACCCCTCCAGAAGAGCAGCTGAGCAGGGCTGGGACTTTTTAATGAAGGCTCTGTATTAAAGGGTTGGCTCTTTCTTTACTTGTCTTCTCCTCTTTTGGAAATGTCCTCCTCTAATCGCCCCTAATCCGACCTCCTCCCTGTGAAGCAGGGGCCGGGCAGCCTGGAGAGGCGGAAGAGGAGTAGCAGAGTGGGTAAGGGCACTGGCAGGAGACTCCCACATGGCCCTGTGCATGGGGTGGTTGCATATTTGCAGGTAACAGCAAGTCAGGCAGGAAAAAGTTTGCATATGTGACTATAGCTCTCCACAGTCCCTCACAAGAAGACAGACCCACGGTCACAGAGACCCACAAAAAAGAAGACAGGTAGTGTGGGGCAGGGGGAATCCCACCCTGTGTAAACGTGCAACACACTCGTGCGAAGGTTGGGTACTGGACCCGGCCCAAAGGGCCTGTGCTGGGCAGCTGCTGTCTGCTTAGGCCAAAGGGAAAGCCCCTGCTGCTGGGGGCAGCTCGCTGGTCAGGGTGTGCCAGCGCTCCAGGGCTGTGTCTGGCTGGTGGAGACAGTCACTCCAGTGCTTCTGCGCCTCTCCCCTGGCTCCTGGCCCCAGAGACACACCACCTGAAGAACAGCCAAGGCATGCAGACCCCTCAGTGCCCATTCTCCTGCCCCACTCCTCACAGTACCCTGGTGGGCTCCGCCACTCACCTATGAAGTCGTTGGATTTGCCGATGTCATAGTCCCAGACTGTGACTTCCAGGGTCTTGGTGGCCAGAGTGGAGAGTTCCATCTCATAGAAGAATTCCTGAAGACAAAGCAGAAGTGCTTTCTGCCAGGCCCTCTACCACAGCGCTGTCCCCAGCCCGTCTTTATTTCTGCTCCCTGTCATGCTTACCTCATTAAATTCTGGGTTTAATGTCTTCTTCTTTACACATGTTTTATGCTTGGATTTCTTGTCCACATCTGGTCTCAAGTACCTACAGAGGGAGGGAACAGTGAAGTTAGGGACAGGCTAAGCCCCAGAGCAGTTAGGCGTGGGTTGGCTTGGGCAAGGGCTCACGTCTTCACATAAGGGTCAGAGTAGCCGTTAACATCCATGGCAGCCAGGTGAGCACAGCGAACAATGCCCACCAGCAGCCCATGCCGCCTAGAGCTGTAGCTGAGGGTCAGCAAGATGCGCCCGCGTTCTTCCAGAAGCCCAGGTCCCTGCTCTGCCTGCTCTAGCTGCCAGAAAAGGAGGCAGGGGGCAGAGGTCAGTCTAGGGCCTCTCCTGCCTCCCACCCAGAAAGGGTTCTCAGGATGTACCTCACCTCCTTCAAGTAACAGGAAATGCCCCTCAGCGCCGCAGACATTGAAGAGGGTGAAGGAAGCTGAGGGAGCAAAGAAAAAGTTCTGACAAGCTGGCCCCTCCAGGTTCCCTTCCCATACCCATTAGCCCCACACACACCTACCGGGACCTGGCGCTCAAGGCAGATGTTAAAATGCTTCTTCTGTGAAGGCTTGAGGCGACGGAGGGGCACTCGAATCTCCCCAATAAACTCATTGTGGCTCAGCTTGTCCTCGTCACAGACAGAGATCCTGGCGGGGAACTGCAGGGTCAGGGCCCCAGGGTATCTGAGCCCCACTCCGGAGAGGAGAAAGGTTCTTGGACCAGCCCCAGCTCTGCCCTAAGCTTGCCACCTCAGAAGGACAATTGGATCTGCCCTGGGCTGTCCTATGTCAATCAGGGGTTACCCAGCTGCACAGGAAACTCACAGCTTCTGGGGACAAATGAACCCCACAGGTGTGGGGGGTAGGTGTGGCCAGACACAGCGGCAGTCCCCAGTGGACTCCTGCTTGACTTGGGTGCCTGGTTCTTTGCTGCTGGATCAGGGAGCCAGCCTGGCCCAGATGCAGCAGTCCAGGGTTAAGGGATAAGTAGCTATGGTATGAAGGTGTGACCTTGGACAAGTCACCTAACTGTCCATCTGTAAAGGTGGAGGGGTGTTTGAACATACCCGCCTACTGAAACTGTCATGAGGGAAAACAAAGAAATGCTCCCTAGTAACAGGCTATAGTGGCACACGGTGAGCCTAGCACTCAGAAGGCTGAGGCAGAAGGATGTGAGTTCAAGGCTAGCCTGCGCTGACCTTGTCAAAACAAAAACTGCCTTCTGCAATCGTGAGGCTTCATGGTCTACCCTGAGGAACATGAGGCCAACTCTGCTGCTTCTGCCACCTGCCATCATGGTGAGCTCTGCAGAACAGCCCTGATGACCATGCCTCTCCTGTGATAAACCCTCTGTGACCCCCGTTACCCAAGAATAAAGGATGAAGTTTCTCTCAACCCAAACTCAGATCCACACTCCTCTTTGGGATATTTCTCACACCTAGGGTGACAGGGCAAGTTCCCTGACTGAGAAGACTTTCCTCAGAGAATGTATATAGGTAGACATGGAACAGTGGGCAGCCTGAGGTGTGTCGGTCTGACTAAAGCCACGGACTCTGAGGCAGGGTCTTGGGAAGCAGAGACAGCCTTCCCAGAGGCAGGTTTGGGGTTGAGCCTCAGATGAATGACTGAGGAGGGCAGAGGAAGCCAAGGGCGCATATAGCACCACTGATGAGGCCTGCCGCCGCCAAACGAGCCATCCTCTCTGTACCTGCTGCTGAGGGGGCTTGGGAGCCACTGACTATTTTAGAGTGTCAGCAAAACGGGCTTAATGGGACACAGGGAGATGGACCAACCAAAGGTTACAATGACAGTTATCCCAGAGGTGCTGGCCTGGAGGAAAAGCCCTCACCTGAGCACCTTGTGAGTGATGTCATCATCCGTGATCCCGCTGTACGTCAGCTCCTCATTCCACACAGGGTTGAGGGTATTCCTCTGGGTCTTAGTTTTTAGTTTATTAGCCTGGGGCATGGGGACAAAGGACTCTGATTCATGGATCCTGGAGCCCCAAAGGCTGAAGGCGGGGCTAGGAGGGACCCGTAAGCCAAGCCAACCCTGGAAGAAGACATACCTTGCAGGCTCCTGGCAGGAGGTGCAGCTTTACATAGGGGTCAGCCAGGCCATTGAAATCCATGGGCTTGAGGCCCTGGAGGATAGGTGCAAGGGGGGCCTTAGACTCCCACGCCTTCCTCCCTCCTCCTGCAGGACTAGATCCCCACAGAGTACATTCCAGAGATGCAGGAGTCTGCTCTGGGTGGGGCAAGATGGGGCCCCCACCCTAGGGTAGCAGTCCAGGGAGGAGAGATGCACACCTTGGCCCTGAGGACTCTACAGTGCAGAGTACAAGAAGCCCGGTCATAGAGAAGGTCAAATTCCAGTGTGCCCAGGGCAGCTACAGAAGGGAAGAGAAGTCAAGTGTGTGAGACCTGTCCCCATCTCTGCTGGCCTGCCAGTGCCTGTGTGCAGGAGGCTGAGCAGCCATGTGCACGCCTGCGTCTAGGTCCCTGGCTCGGCCGCAACTGTGTGGGTGGTGGAGTGTCTCAGCAGAAATATTGAATATTGAGCCTTGCTGAAGCTATAATCTGCACCCAGACTGCAGCTGTGGTGGCAGGACTGCCCCCCCTCCCCACCGTACACACACACACACACACACACACACACACTCAGGAGGCTGCTCCCTCCCACAAGCCCACTGAGCCCCCCTCCCAACTCACTGGTATCATCTGAGTCGTAGCTGTCTACCTCAGCTCCATCGTCGGGTGTGGTGGCCCCAAGGAGAGCCGCAGGGGGAGCCAGAGCCAGAGGGGCCAGGTGAGCCGGGGCTTCCCCGCAGCCCCTGCCGCCAGCAGCCTCTGGTCCTGGCCCCCTGCGAGGGAAGTAGTCGGAGATCTGGCGGATGGGCCTGATGGGGCCAGGACACACGTTGATGGCCATGTGCTCCTGGATGTTGATGGTCATGCGGTCACCCCTGCGGCCCCTCATGCAGCACCTCCGACTGGGAGACGGGTGTAGAGCTGGAGTGGCTGGCGGGGGTCTGAAGGAAGCTCACTGCCCTCCCTTCCTGGGTGTCAAGGGAGAGGCGATCTGTGCCAGCTGATGGGCAGACAGCAGGCCTGGCTCCAAAGGGGCTGGCTGGGTCTCCAGATCAGTCCTGGCAGACAGGTCATGTCTCCCCCTAAACCCTGCCCACTACCTGTACGTTGTCCCTTTGTCACCTTTCTCAGAGTTTCCTCTCATCCTGGGTTCCCCCTCTGTTCCCATCCCCTCCAGTCCCCCAGGGACCGCACAGCTCCCCTCCTTCGCTGCTGAGGCTCGGGCCATCTTCTCCATCAGGCGTGGGGCTGGCCAGGCTGTCACCCACCTCTCTAGGCTTTTCTTCACTCAGCCCCAGCTTCTGCCTGCATGCCTGCCTGCCTGCCTGTCTAGTCCCTAACCCGGGCCATCCGCTCTACCACGGAGGGAGCCCCCTGCTTCGGTTTTCTCTCTCACCCTCACCAGCGCTCCCCTTGGCCGGCCCGGCCCCCGCACCTGTCCCTGGGCCTCCAACAGGTGCCCTGCACGGGCGGCCCGCGGGCGCAGGCTGGGCGGCGGCAGCGACTGCGGCGTGGCGGGCGAGGACCGAGCGAGAGGCGGCGCGGGGCGGGAGTGGCGGGAGCTGCCGCGGGCGGCCGGGAGGGGCGCGGGGCTCAGAGGGCCACGCAAGGGCCCCAAAGCGCACACAAGTGCACACCCGACACGTGTGCTCGCTCTCACACCCGCCCGAGCTCCTCGGGCCAGCTCACACGCGTGCACACTCACCCGAGAACTTGGCGTGCACCTCCGCGAGAGGAGCCCGGTGTTCCCCAGCTCCTCCTGGGAGACCCAGGCCCCCGCCCCGCCGCGCAGCCCTGGCACCTCCCGCTGCCCCGCCTCTCGCCTTCTCTGGCTCCCAGGGCTCCAGGGCCCGACCACCCGGCCTAGTTGCCATAGCGACGCTGGTTCTCACGCACACCCCCAACCCACAAAGCACCCGAGGGGGAAGGGAAGAGGGCAGCTGTCCTACCCCTTGGTGTCCGTGGGCGTGGCTTAGAGATCCGCAGTGACCTAGGGACCCGCCAGGGAAGGAGGGACCTGCCTGCCGCTCCTGCTTTGCTGGGGAACCTCGAAAGAGACTGACTGGCTTCCCCACGCCTCCTTCCTTCTTGAAACCCAAACCAGCCTCCAGGACCTGGGTCCCTTTACCAGACTCACACCTCCTGCCACCCTCTGCCATCTCCAGCTCTGTGCCTCAGGCGGGGGAGGACCTCAGGGCTTGAACCTGCAGTCATGAAGAGTCTGCCCGCCCTGCCTCCTGCCTCAGCCCAGTAGCCTTCTGTCTTGTCTTTTAGTATTTGAATGATTCTAGATGAGCAGCTCAGGTTGGCCTTGAACTCCTGTACCTCCTGCCTCGCTGGGATTACAGACTAGTGCTACCAGAGGGTTCAACACTAACCTTTGATCTTGTGCCCCGAACTTGAACTTACCTCCTGGAAAGACCAGAGAGGCCCTTCAAGCCAAGAACCCCCTGCCCACCTGCAGTTTCAGAGCATGCCCCCACCTCTAGGCCTCTGGGGCCTTTGTTCATGTCCTTGGCTCCTGAGAACGCCCTTCCCAGGTCATTCCACAGACCCGAGGATCCCTCAGGCTCTGATGACAGTTGTGTCTCCCTGTTAACTTTCAGTCTCCTATCAGCCTGGGAGTTGTTACAGTGAAAAGGGGCTGATTGATCTCTGAGTCCCAAGTGCCCCAGAATGGGCCTGACACTAAGTCAGCCTCACTAAATATTAAGACTCAACAGCCGGGCGGTGGTGGCGCATGCCTTTAATCCCAGCACTCGGGAGGCAGAGGCAGGCGGATCTCTGTGAGTTCGAGGCCGGGCTGGACCGATAGCCTCCGAAACAATACAGAGAAACCCTGTCTCGTAAAAACCAAAAAAAAAAAAAAAAAAAATTAAGACTCAACAGAGAAATTGTGCTGCCTGCCAGCATGTGACTATGCTTAACCCTGACTCGCTGTACATGTGAAGACAGACAGTTGAGGGCTGGGGGCCCTGGTACAGTGTGTGCTTACCATGCAAAGGCTCTGATCCCCAGCACCAAATAAAAAAGATGGCAAGTACTATCTGAAAATGTTATGTGTTTGCATTTTAAAACTTTCTAAAAGTAGGAGTACTATAATATCAAATTATATAACACAACACCTGTCACCTATCAAATGGGCAAAATTCAAAGTGTCGGCACATTCAGCACACCAAGACTATGGGTATGTAAATTAGTGGCACTTCTGACACTGGGTGCCAAGAACACAAATACACATACTCTCTGACCCTGAAATCCCAGCTCTCTGACTTTATCCTATAGATATACCAGGCGATATCCAAAATAATGGAAGTTGAAGATTCTTACCTACAACTTCTAAAAAGGAAACAAATGAAATGCAGGAGAGACTGGTTAATCAGCTGTGACACAATTTCCCATATCAAAGTAGTATGCAGTCAGGAAAAAGGAGGCTTTTATATATTTATCTAGCTAGATACAGAATCATCTTCACAATCTCATTCCTGCTTAAACCAAGATGCAAAGCCAGAGCCGAGCGTGTGGAATACTGCCACTTGACTGAAGGAAAGACCTTACTCGTTTGTGCCTATGTTGTTTCCAGAAGACTGCACAAGAAAATGGTAACTATGGTGACTGCAGGAGAATGAGGTTGCTGTGGACCAGGGAAGGGCATGCACAGGAAAGACTTAGACTCCAGCATACAACTCTCTGCACTTTTTTGTTGTTGAGTCAGGATCTTACTGTGTAGCCCTGGCTGACCCGGAACTCACTATGCAGACCAGGCTGGCCTCTGAGCACTGGGAGTAAAGGTACGTGCCTTCTGAATGCTTCTCAGTTGTAGCACATGTATGTCACCTCTTCCAAAGAGCGCATTAAAATCACATACATTTGAGGGAGATAACTCAGGTGACAATGGCACTTGCCACACAAGCCTGAGTTTGCTTCCAAGAGCCCACATGGTCGAAGGAAGGAGAGAATTCCTACAAGTTGTCCTATGACCTCTACACATGGGTTATGGCACATGTTGGTACACACATACACAAATCAATAAATATTCAAAGGTTTTAAATTTGTCTATTTGTCCGTGCAAGACCAGACTTGGGACCTTATATAGACAAAGTGTGTATCCTTCCACTGAGCTAGAGCTCCTAGCCTAAAGTACTTCAAGCCGCCATGAGTGTCCTTTCATAGCTCTCCAGAGCTAGGAAGGAAGCAAAAAGCTAGCCAGGCCTTCTGGCACATCCCTGCAATCCCAGTACTTGAGAAGTAGAGGCAGAAAGATTTTCCATGAGTTCTAGGCTAGCTTGGTCTACATACTGAGCTCTAGACCAGCCGGAGCTACAGAGCAAGGGTGCTGTTGGCCTGGACACGGGGGTAGGCAGCAAAGGGAGCAGCGTGATTTGTGAATCCCCCACTGCTGCCTTCTCATAGTGCACAGCTTGGACCCATCCCAGCATGCCTTGCAAAGCCTCCCCAAAGGCAGGAGCTCAGGAACAGGGCAGACAGTGATGAGCTTTACCAATTCAGAGTGAGAAAAGTTCTCCATCCAACAAACTTATGTCCCAATTACCCCATCATTTCTTTTTTTTTTAAAGATTTATGTATTTATTACATATACACCAAATTGAATTGAAGATGGTTGTCAGCCACCATGTGGCTGCTGGGAATTGAACTCAAGACCTCTGGAAGAGCAGTCAGTGCTCTTAACCTCTGAGTCATCTCTCCAGCTCCCCCCCCATCATTTCCTGGATAACTTCTATGCAACAACCTCCAGCCTCACAGCCCTGTGGGGAGATAGACAGACACACAGATTCCAACAAGTGAGGAAGGGTGAAGCATGGCCCTGAGCCTGGGTGCCACAGGGCTCCCTTCCTACAGGAAATGTGTCAACCGACTTTTCCAAGATGAGGCCTTAACTGGAGCTGGAGCGAGCGGAGCTGGAGTCACTTAGGCAAGGTCTGAGAGAGAGCGCGTCTGGGAGGCAGTCAGGAGGACCTTGAATAAGCCTTATGAACAGAGGGTGGGCACGCCTGTGATCCCAGCACTCAGGAGGCAGGATCCCAAGTCTGAAGCCAGTCTGGGCTACAAAACTATCCCATCTCAGAAAAATTAATCAACCAGCTGATAAGAACCTGGAACACAAAAAGTGGTTTTGAAAGCAGTGTGGCTAAAGGCTTGGAGGATGGGAAATGGGATGAGCAGGTAGGTAGGCTGCCTGGGAAGCTCTTATACAGGAGGCTTCCCTTGCATCTGAACGGTTCTTGCTGAATGGTTGAAGCTGAGTTAGGAGGCAGGAGTCAGTGTGGTTCAGCCTGACCAAAATCTGTGGCGATCAACAGATCCTAGTAAGGGCTTTGGCTTCAAAGGAGGGGAAGGCAGGGAATCACATTTAAGATTTCTGCCTTGCAGTTGGGCATTGGTGGTACACATGTTTAATCCCAGCACTCGGGAGGCAGAGGCAGGTGGATCTCTGTGAGTTTGAGACCAGCCTGGTCTACAGAGTGAGTGCCAGGATAGGTTCCAAAGCTACACAGAGAAACCCTGTCTTGAAAAACCAAAACCAAAACCAAAACCAAAAAAAAAAAAAAAAGATTTCTGCCTTGCCTCGCCCTGCTCCCTCCCCTCCTCTCACTCTTTACTCTCCTCCCCCTCGTCTTTGAGACAGGGTCTTGGCCTGCATCCCAGGCTGATCGGGACCCATGATTCTCAGCCTCTGCTGAGCTTGGATTGCAGCTGTGCAGCACATCCAGACAGAGGAGCTTCTGTCGGAAGCGGCACCAGCAGATGTTCACTTGGGGACTGTCAGGTAAGAAGATGCAAGATGATCCCCAGGTTCCCCGTAGACCATCTAGGAGAACCATGGAAGAGAGAGGAGCAGGTCTGGAATAAGGGAATTGAGAGCTTCATGTAAGGTTATTGCACCCGAGATGTTTTTGGACATGGAGACATCAAGCAGGAAGTTGGGGATAGGAGTCTGGAGCTCTGAGGAGAGGTCTGGGCCAGAAATATACATTTGTGAGTCACCAGCATATAGATGGTATTTAAAGCCATGAGAATGGATGAGATCACCTAGGGAGATGGAATATATACAAAAAGAAAAGGCCAAGGCCCAGCCGGCAAGACAAGGCTGGAAAGCTGGTGAGGGTGGGTCCCTGTTGAAGTGAGGGACGGGCACCCTGCTGAGACAAAATGAAAAAGGAAGTAACCCCCACTGGTGGACATCACCCAAGGGCTCTAGTGAGGACAGTGGAGGAGGAGACAAAGCCCCTCGGAAGAGGCTGAGTGAAGGCAGCAGGTGCAGACTCTGTCAGCTCGATGTCTCTTCCGACCTACCATGCACCTGTGAGCTGTTTCTCACATCCCAGAGGCAGAAATCTCCCTGCCATCCTTAACTTCCCTCTCTCCCTCTCTCCCTGCCCACTTCTCTCCCTCCCCTCCCTCCCCTCCCTCCCTCCCTCCATCCCTCCATCCCCACTTCCTCTCCCTCCCCTCCCTCCTCCCTCCCTCCCTCCCCCCTCCGGATGCGCACTGCACCTGGAAGTACCTGTGGAAGGACAGCCTCGAGTGTCTTCCTCACCTTCTGTCTCTTCCTCTATCCCTAGCCCCAGCTGGCCAGAGAACTTCCAAGGGGTCTTCTGTGCCCACCTCTCAGTAGGGGCGTTGGGTTACACACGTGCAACTCTGCACAGGTTCTGGGGACTTCGGTTTGTTTTTGTTGTCTCACTGTGTATCTCTGGCTGGCCTAGAACTCACAGAGATCCATCTGCCTCTGTCTCCTGAGGGCTGGGATTTTATTCAACGGTGGTGTGTGCCACCATGCCCAGTGGCTCTGAGTATTTGAATTCAGGTCCTCACACTTTTGCCGAAAATCCTCTGCCCACCCCTAGCCATGTCCACACCCCAGACATCATGTTCTATCTGAGCCATGAATAGAGTCCAGGCAGCACACAATAGTACATTTTTCTAATGGCCAGACAGGCGAAAGAACAGGAGATCTACTCGAGGGGAAGGGTGGAGTTTTCTTGCTTTGTTTTATGGTTTTTGTTTTTGTTTTGTTTTTTTACATTGATATTTTGCCTGCATGTATATCTATGTGAGGGTGTCAGATCTTGGAGTTACAGACAGTTGATAGCTGCCATGTGGTTGCTGGGAATTGAACTCACAACCTCAGGAAGAGCAGTTAGTGCTCTTAACCAGTGAACCATCTCTCCAGTCCCAGAGGTGGGTTTTGTTGTTGGTTATTTTTCTGTGGGTGGGTTGTGTATATTTGTAGGGCCACTTACACAGACGCCACAGGTACATTTCCTCAGGACTTTCCACTTTGGTTTCTTGTTTGTCTCTCTTGAGCAGAGTTGGGGGTTGGTAAAGCTGTTTTAATACAATTCAGAAGGACATACCTGAGTGCATGAGCTTCTCAAAGAAGAATCTCGAAGGGAAAACATGCCCAGGTGTGGCTGCTATCTACGCAGAGGGTAGGCTCTGCCGGTTTTGTTGAAGCTGGTTCTCTCATCCTGGCTTTGTTTATCTCAGATGAGACTGGGATCTTGCTATGTAACCCTCCTGCTCTAGCCTCCAGAGCACGGGAATTTTGAGGTGCACGCGCGCACACACACACACATACACACACACACACACACACACACACACACACCCTGCCTAATTCTCTAGGTGTTTTTGTTTAAAAAATAAAAGTTGAGCCAGATGTGGTGGTGCACACCTTTGATCCCAGCACTAGGGAGGCAGAGGCAGGTGGATCTCTGTGAGTTCAAGGCCAGTTTGGTCCACATAGTGAGTTCCAGAGCGACACAGTAAGACCCTGACTCAAAAAAAAAAAAAAAAAAAAGGAAAGAAAGAAACAAAAGAAAAAAACCACATCGTGGCAAGGCTGATATGTGGATAGCAGGTGGGTTGGTGCGGGAAAGACAGGACCCTTTAACGAGGAGCCACCTAGGGGGCTCGTAAAGCAACTGAGCAGCTAGTCTGTATAACAAGCCAGGCACTAGTGCAATCAGGGAGACCCTGGAGTGTCCTTGGCCCGGGTGGGATGGAATACATTTGTGATAGGCAGGCCTAACTGCCAATCAGAGGCGAGCTACCTCTTACCACTCGAGATGGGGCCTGTGGAGTGCAATTAGGAAGTGACACCAGGAGGACTGTGGGAACTTGAGGGGAGAGACGCGGCTGTGAGGATGTGGCGTGGTGGTGCGCCCACAGGCCAATGCCACAAAAGGGAAACTGAGTTACGGGGAGGTTATTAAATTAGGTTCTTTGAATGGCCAAGAGACTAGCCTTGGAATAAGCTAAGGGAGTCCCTATAACGACTCTTGACAGCAGCCAGTCCCCAGAGAGAAGCCTGCCTACCGCACCCGGTGTTACCTGTGGGAGAGATGATGGCACGGATTGAGGAACACTGCTGCCACCTGGTGGAAAAGACTGCTGTTTCATCTCTGTGCGCGTCTATAGCTGCTGAGCGCCAAGACCAAGTCTGGAGCCAGATAGATGCAGACCCCTGAATCTCAGGACAAAAATGCAAAGGGGATCCCCAGACAGAAAAATTCACACCTTGGGAAGTGTAGAGCCTCCACTCATATCTTCCCCCTACACATTGGTTTGCTCTTCCCTCTTAAGCTTTCTGCAAATTAAATGAGTCAATCTGTGCAATTTTTTTGGCATTTTAATAAGTATTCAATAAATAACAGTTGTGGTTGATCCAAAGGACAGCTGGAGCTGTGTAGCCACTTCACCTCCCAAGTATAGCCGCTGCACAAATGCATCGTTGCATCGTCCCAGCTAAGTTCTGGGACACCAGTGACAATTGACTGAGCCCAAGGCCTTGTGTATGCTGAGCAAAAGCTCTCTCCCCCGAGCCACACCCCGAGACCTCCACCACTGCTGCTGCTGTTGTCATCAGTGAGGTCCCTGAGGATGAGGGTCAGTGGGCTCTTCTGCATCAGGAACTGGAAGCACCCCCCACAGTCAGGCTAGCGGAATGGCGCTGGCCTGTGACATCATAGAATCCCACACAGTGAGGGGTATGAAGCTTCGGCAGTGGGTGTCCATATGGGTGTGCCTGTGGATGGCTGAGTTGGGGACTGTAGGAGCAGGTGAGAGTCGGGGCATCGGTGGCGCACTCCTTTAGTCCCAGCACTCGGGAGGCAGAGGCAGGTGGATCTCTGTGAGTTCAAGGCCAGCCTGGTCTATAGAGAGAGTTCCAGGATGTGATCCTAAGTCACAGAGAAACCCTGCCTCAAAAAACAAAAACAAACAAACAAAAAGAAACAGGTGAGAAGCTGGGGCTCAGGGATGGAAGGAATAAAGGAGGCTTGGGAACAAGGAGAAAGCTTGGCTGTGACCAGGAGGCCAGCCCAGCCTCAGGCCTTTCTCCCCTACTCTTCCCTCCCCTCCCCCCTTCCTTTTCCTGATATTGTGTTGTTTTCAGACAAAGCTTCACTCTGGCCTAGGCCGACCTGAAGCTCACTGTACAGCCCAAGCTGACTTCAGACTTGCAGCCATCTTTTTTGCCTTTTTGCCCAAGCGACAGAATTAGAGTCTTGAGTCAAGGCTCTTCAGCCAGCCTTTCGCTTTGATTCTGTGTTGGTGTCCCTGTCTCAGACTTGGTGGGCTTCTGATAGGAATTCGGCCAGCCCACAACAGGCAGGGCCTTGAGTTTGCCTGACCTCTGGGGTGGGCACAATGGGTCTGCGGGACTCTTGTCACAGACTTTGCTTTGTTCCTAGCACCCAGAAGAGATGGCACCAAGGCCTCGACACCAGGAGCCGACATCCGGCTCTTCGTAGACAGGCCTGACTTTTTTGACTACCCAGACTCAGACCAAGCTAGTCTTTTTGCTGTGGCCCAGTTTATTGGAGAGAAACCTGTGACCTTTGTTGAGACAGGTATGAAGCGGCTTGATCAAGGGGCCCCCCTCCTGGCAGGGTCTGGAGGAAGTCTGCTCTTGTCTGGCAGGTCCTGGCCCTGGGCTCTTCCGGCACATCCTGGTGAGCGCGTTGGCGGTGGCTTTCTCCCTCTTCCTCTTCCAGTTCTGCACGCACGTGTGAGTTCCGTCCCCACGTCCTGCCCTACCCCTGCCAGAGGTCCCAAGTCTCCCAAGAGCCCTCCCCATTTGATCTCCACACTCCGCAGGAGCTTCCAGAAAGGAGCCTAAGGAGCGGGAGCCAGCCAGGAGCCGCGCGCCCACCGGGTCTTCTGCTGGGAAACAAAGGCAGCGCCTCCTCCCTTCCTGGCTGCGCAGCGGCCCTCTAGGCGGCCACTCACACCTCTCCTTCCTCCCAGGCCTCCCTGGGACCCTCTTTGTGGCCATCCCCGCCCATCACCTCCTTCCTTCCTCACTGCTCATTGGCCCAGCCCGAAAGAACTGGACCCGAGGGTCTTGCTGGCGTTCACGAAGATCGACTTTATTAGCGGTCTGTAAAAGCACCTCCCAGGGTCAGTGACCCCAGATCGGAGGAAGCCGTGAGAGGTCTGTAGCACCAGGGACAAGCCAGGGCCCGAGGGCGAAATGTGCAGCCTAACGGAAGGGACTGGTGCCCTTGCCTGCCCCCAGGGTTGCTCAGCACTGGGAAGGTTGTAGGGGAGCAATTACCTCCCTCCCCACACTCCAACAAATTAGAGATAGGCGAATAAATAAATAAGGTTCCTCAGGTTGGTCTCCACAGGAAGGAGCTGTGGGGGTCCCCTGCCCCCGGTGGCCCCCTTGGGATGAGTTAGGGTGTTTTCTCTCTCCCTGGTGATGGGGAGCAGAGAGGGGTTTGCAGCAGCGGAGCTGGGATGTCCTTGGCAGCGGGGCCACCTCCATGTCCCTTGACTCCTTGGTCCCTCTGAGCCCAGCTCTCCAGGCCTCGGCACATTGTCGGACACTCCCTCTTCCTTTCATTTTGTGAGCTCAGAAGCCGGAAGAGCCTCTTTATCCCCTCTCTGCCTGCCTTCCTGTCATCCGACCTTAGCTCCTGAGGGTATTTAGCTCCTCCCTGTTCTGAGTCCTTCTGTCTTGGGGTTGGCAAGGCAAGGGACTCCTGGCTCTCACCCCCCACCCACTGGCCCCAAAGCCCTGTCTCCACAGGGGCTGGGGAGGGGGGTTCCCAGGCCCCAGCCTCAGTCCTGAGTCTGACAAGGAGAGGGCGGCGGGGAACCTCGGGGTCGGAAGAGGCGGCAGGCCCCGCGGCAAATGAGGAAGAACCAGTAGAGCTGGGGTGCGAGCAGCAGCGCGGCGCCCAGGTTGACGTGAGCCGGGATGGCCAGGGGCACAGAGAGCAGGGGCAGCCCGGCGTGGCGCCCGTAGGCCCAGTACAGGTAGGGGAAGAGCAGCACCCGGCAGCACAGGAAGCTGAGCAGCATCAGGGCGCCGTTCACCTTGTGCAGCAACGTGTGCTGCTGCTTGTACTGTGGACAGAGCAGCGTGGAAGGGGAGGGAGAGGCCCCTCTCTCTACTCGCAGGTTCCCACGGCTGCCTCCGCCCCGCCTATGGCTCCGCCCCCTCTCCCACCTGCCACTGCACTCCCCCCTCTGTCTCTGTCTCTCTGTCTCTGTCTCTGTGTCTCTGTCTCTGCCTCTCTCTCTCTCTCTCTCTCTCTCTCTCTCTCTCTCTCTCTCGTTTATTTTTGAGACAGGTTTCTCTGTGTAAACAGTCCTGGCTGTCCTGAAACTCATGTTTTAGACCAGGCTGGCCTCGAACTCACAGCAAGCCATACACCTGCTTCTGTCTCCCAAGTGCGGGGATTAAAGGCATGCACCACCACTGCCCAGCTTTATTCTTGCTTTTTGAGACAGATTCCCACTATGTAGCCCAGGCTAGTCTCAAATTCATGATCTCCCTGCCTCAGTTTCCCAGTGCCGGTGTTGTAGGCACACACACACACCCCCCATGCTGAAAGGTCTCATGGTCTTTTTTTTTTTTTTTTTTTGGTTTTTCGAGATAGGGTTTCTCTGTGGCTTTGGAGGCTGTCCTAGAACTAACTCTTGTAGACCAGGCTGGCCTCGAACTCACAGAGATCCTCCTGCCTCTGCCTCCCAAGTGCTGGGATTAAAGGCGTGCGCCACCAACGCCCGGCAGGTCTCATGGTCTTTAAGAATTTCCAAAAGTCCCCAGACATGTCCACCCCACATGCCCTTAAGCCCTCCGATCATTCTCACCTGGATGAGGATCTTGCCCAGGCAGACGAAGGGTGTGCTGACCTCGGCCATCAACATGCAGCCTAGAAAGAAATCTCCCTTGCCCTGGCGCCACACCTGAGGGAAAATGAAGAGTCTAAGGAACTGTGTCCTCCTTCATGTCTCTCTCCCATCACCTTCAGAGATGCTCAGTGCTCTCTCTCTCTCTCTGTGTGTGTGTGTGTGTGTGTGTGTGTGCATGCACATGTGTGGTATTTGCATGTAAAGGCCAGGGTCAATTTCCTTAATTGCTTTCAAACTTATTATTTTTGGGATTTTGTTTGTTTGCTTTTGTTTTTCAAGACAGGGTTTCTCTGTGTAGTTTTGTAGACCAGGCTTTCCTGTAGACCAGGCTGTCCTGGAACTCTACCTCCTGAGTGCCACCAGTGCCTGGGCATCTTACTGTTTTGAGGCAGGGTCTCTCTCATTTGGCTGCACTGGCCAACAAGCCCCAGGGACCCTCCTCCCTTCACTTCCCCAGAGCTAGGGTTAAGCACACACCACCCAGCCCAGTTCTTCAAGGAGACCCGGCCCCCATGCTTACACAGCAATCACTGAATCAGCCGAGCCATCTCCCTGGCCCTATTCCCAGACCCCAAACCTTTTCTTTTCTTTTCTTTTTGGTTTCTCAAGATAGGGTTTCTCTGTGTAGCCCTGGCTGTCCTGGAACTCACTCTGTAGACCAGGCTGGCCTCAGTCTCAGACATCCGCCTGTCTCTGCCTCCCAAGTGCTGGGATTTAAGGTGTGCACCTGGCTTTTTCCTTTTTTAAGTCAAGAGTCTCATGTACCCCAGGCTGGCTTCAAATTCACTGTGTAACAGAGGTTGACTTTAAACGTCCTATCTTCTTGTTTCCACTCGCAAGCGCTAGGATTACAAATGTGCTACCATCCTGAATTTACAGCGTGCTGGGGATTAAACCCAGGGCTTCACACGTTAGGGAAACGTTCTCCCAGCTGAGCTACATCTTCAACCCAGAGAGACACTTGGGTCTACATACTCAGTACACTTTATAATCCAGACTAAGAAGGTGCACCTCATACCACAGGGGAAGGACAGGCTCAGACACATAGCCCGTGCTCTGACACACCCCAGACTGACTTGGACCTCTTGACACTCTGAGTAGAATGCTGCTCAGGAAACCCGCTTCCCGGGACCTCCACACTGTAGTGCTGGCATGCTGGGGAGGAGCCGCCTTCTCACACCTACCCCCTAGCCCTCCTGACTGCAGGAGGGAGCACTCACCACCGAGAGTGGGAAGCACACCAGCACCATGGCCGCATGGTGGAGCACCATGAGGAACTCCTTGTGCAGGTAGCCACGCACCACAGCCCAGGTGCTGCCCAGGGCTCTGGGCGTCCCGTCTTCCCCTCCATGTCCTTTGACCTGGTGCTTGTGCCAGTGGCAGAGGAACATGGCATAGATGTCATAGATGAAGTAGGGAACTGCAAACTGTGTGTAGGCGGAGGACAACCAGTGCCTGTGGGGAGGGGAGAGAGAACAGAGAGGTGGGCAGGTTGTAGGTCCAGGCTGTAGGAGCAGCCCTGCTACAGGATGGGAGTGAGTTAGGTCCCAAGGGAGCTCTTATAACAACCCAGAGTCTTGGGTTTCAGAAGCCGTAATTGAAGGGTGGTGTGTGAGGAACCACTCAAGGCCAGGCTGTCTCGCAGCTTCTGAGGTTTGGATTCAAGTCAGGCAGACCTCACATCCTACCATGTCTCTCCCTCTTTCTCCTAAGTGTCTCTGCCTCTCACCCCTGCATCCACCCCTGCCTCTGCAGTATTGTAAAAAAGGAGACCAGAACTTAGCAGATCGAGAGCAGTGATGGAAATGAGCTGTGGGGAGGTACAAAGAAACTCCCAGTTAGGCACAGTGAGGAGATCCCGTGGCCCAGCACCAGCAGACAAGACAGCTTATCAAGAGCCAGGCACTACGTTGGTTCTTAAGTCTTTACACAGCAGCAACTTGTTCACTTCCTGTGAAACCGTATGTCATGGAGAGGCTAAGTAATGCGGCCAAAGAATAACCACAGACGTCCTTGCCATCAGCCCCACTGCCTCAAGAAGGTTCGAGAGGGGTTGGAGCCAGGCCCTGGTGGGGCAGAGGGGCTGTCTCTGCAGCTCGCCTTTGCGCTGAGGTGGTGCGTCTATTGTTAGTTCAGGTACGGCCAGCAGTAAAGAGAGAAGGCTGAGCAAAGATGCCAAGAACAGAGAAAGTCCTACAGACTTTGGAGTAAACAAATACGGGAAGCACAAGAATACGCAACACTGCATTTTTTCTCTTGAGTCAGCATGGAGGCTTTCTCAAGTCCAGGAGTCCTCAGGCAGGCTGGGGTGGGGGTGGGGGATAGAAAGGCCCAGAAGCAGCAGAGCAAAAGCGAACCCAGCTAGCCACCATATATCAAGTGTGAGTGCTGACCAGGGGAGGAGGAAGAAGTGGGGTTACAGGCCTTAGGGGGTGGGGTGAATACAGACACAGTATCTGCTTACCCAGGCTGGCTGGCCTGGAAGGGGTGAAGCATCCCACTCTCAAAGGGACCCACATTGCAACGATGTAGGGGAAGGTGGCCTGGAGTCAAAGAGGGAGGGATAGGGAAGAGATAGAGGGCAGAAATGCAGACAAGACCCAACCACCCTCAGAGCCTGCCTCAGATGTGGTGGAGGAATGGTAACCATAAGACTCTGGGCTGTAGGCAAACTCGAGGGGCTCAGGCCCCTGGGCTAAGTGAGGTGTCAGATTCCATCTCTACTCTGTCAGCAATTAGGTGCTCAGAAGCAAGAACAGCTGTTACCCGGATTAGCCCTTACACTCCCACCTACCTGAGGATTAAAAGGGGAACAGGGTCAAGGCCAGACTAAGGGGTGGGAATGCAAGAAACAAGGGTGGCCTCTGGTAAGAGGATGGAGAAGGAAACCCTGGGTGCAGGCTCCTCCTGGACCCTCTGGGAGAGGGGTTGGAATAGGGCAAGGGAGAGTCAAGTCATGGAGGAGGATTCTGAGAGTTAAACTCCAGAGCCAAGAACTGTTCTAGGCCCTTAACACACTCAACCCTCCACGCAGAAGCCCTTCTGGGGGAGGAGGTGACCTCACTCCAGGTCCTAGGAGGAGAGAACTCACGGGAAAAGAAGAGACAGCTAGACACCAGAAGGCAGATGGAGACCAGGGTCACCCAGACAATGTCCCCTGAGACTCAAAGGACACCACAGAAGGGCAGTAGAGCCAGCAGCTGTGAGTGAAGGGTGCCCTGAGCCACGGCACACGTGCAGCAGCCCACAGCCAGCTGAAACACGGACTGATCAGCACCATGGACAGGGCCAGCGTTTCCCCTTCATCCTCCTCCCGCCCCATCTCCTAGGCCTGGACCTTTTTTTGGCAAGCACCAAACACTGCAGTAGCTGCCAGTGCCAAATTTTGGCCTCTTTGCCTCCAACCCCCACTGCCTGACCCTTCATGGCCTTGTTTGTGTCCTCTCTCTCTCCTCCCTGGACAAAGAGC